TCAACCATGTATGTATCTCTATGAACACTCTAAACAAAGTCTTCTAGGTAATTTGTCTTCTGCACATAAACCCTCATAAATGCCTAGTACAGAAAAAAAAGGAAAAAAAAAAAAAAAAAAAAAAAAAAAAAAAAAAAAAATTATTTGCAAAACATCAAACATTCATACCTGTTCCAACAAAGAGCCATTAGTCATAAGAGGTTTCTGTGGAAGGAAAATCACACACTTGGGTCCTGGTGGGAAGTCATGCGCCACAGTCCCTTGAGCAGCCGGCCACAATCCGCGCAGCACCCTCAGGATACTCGACTTTCCGGCAGAACTTGGTCCCATGATCAGCAGGCTCTCACCTTTCTTGATGACCAGTTGCAAATCTGTTGAGTTTGCTTATTAGTATTTGTATCTTGCAGCATAATCATATGAGATACTAGTTTAAAAGAGAATACGGATTCATATGAATTTTGAGATTTCTCAGCATTACTCAGTACAACAGAACAACAAAAACATTAACTTATTTCTACCACATTATTATAAGTTTTATGCAATTTTTTTTTTACCTGAAACCAGTATCTTATTTGATCCTGGGGCTGAAATAGTGACATCCCTCAGAATGAAGGCGATGTCTAGGGACGTCTGATCTTCCCCGCACACCTCGGCCTCATTTTCAGGCGAGTCCTCAATAAGGCGTCTGGAATATAATGCTTGTTAACTATGGAGCTATGTCATTACAGGTGTGCTTGGCAAATATCTTTTACTTTAAATTGATAATGGTTTGAAAACAATCATTCAATACTGAAAGACAGCGGGAAAAATCGATTACTTGCAGGTTTATTGGAAGCTAAGACAACAATTTTGCAAATTTTCTGAATTTCTTGCTTCTGAATTTATTAACCAATGTGTTTTTAGAAGGATCAATGTCTCTCCTTATTTACAAGTTAATTTTCTATAAACTTTCACTGAGTAGTCTTCCAGCTCCATTTAACCATAGAAGAGGCATTACCTGAAGACTACAACTGCATAAAGCATCTAGGCTTGTTAATTAGAATGTCTTAAGTTCTTATTTAAGATGTTGTTCACATTGGAATTAAGTAAAAAGAAAAGAAAAGAAAAATTATAAGAAAAAAAAAAAAGAAGGCATTCATATGGTTCAGTCAACTCATGCATTTTAACTAATGCCATCAGCTCTTTCCTCTAATTATTAAACTCTTTGTAAAGCAAACACTGATCATCTTTGATAAATTCAAATACCAAATATGTACATCCATATTGTTACCAAAAAGGTGACATAATGAATAGAACGTCTCTCCCCCTTACTTTGAGTCACTAGAGGACGCAGCGCTTTCTCTTGACCCAGATCGCTTTCGGAGATTCTGCGTAATGTTGGTAAAGGAAGATGAGGCCTGGGGACAAGGAAAACATTTGTTAGTGAAGAAAATTTGTAAAAAAGAAAAAAAGAAAAAAAAAGAAAGAAAAGAAAAGAAAAAAAAAAGTATGACATGTAAATCTGAAGCTGAAGATGACATTATTGAGATTCTGACAATATCATATTTCTTGCAACTTTAAGTGTTTCTGACAGATATAATAAGAACAGTAGACTTTGTGAGAAAATTGAAGTAAAGATTATTTTTGTAAAAACACTATTTCCAAAATTAAGAAAATAAAAAATAAAGTAAAATAATATAAACAATGTGAATGACAGAGATTACTATAACAAGAATAATGAGAAAAGAGAAATAATAAAATCAATAAAACAAATAACAATAATTACAGTAATAATAATATCAACTACAAAACTGATAACAAAGTAATTATAACAATGATAATCATGAACCTGATAAATCTGTAATACTAATACTACTAACAACAAATATAATTGTAATCCAGTAACTTACCAGCTGTACTGTAACAACAATGAGAATAATATTCCCTACCATCACAATACAATCAATACCATTAGCACCCTACCTGAAGTGTATTAATATCCCATTCATGCTGGAGTTTGAGCAGCCTCTCGACCAACTGAGCGACACGGTGGGTCACGCCGGACAACACCACCACCTGGCTGCCCAAGTCCACGAGCGAGGTCAGGCTGAACACCAGGTACATGGAGACGAAGGCATACTAGCGTTTGGGATAAAGAAGCTTGGAGTTGGTATTCTGTGAAGTGCTTTGCCATAAAGTTCTACTTGCAATGAGGGTATTTATGTATAGTTTATATCAACTTATGTGGCTTTTAGTCAAAGGTAGTAAATGAAAAAAACAGGAAATCATTAGATAAAAATTAGAAAAGAGAATCAACCATATATATCCAATATTCTAATTTATCAATATTATCAAGAATATAACCAAGACTCCATTAAGTGATTCCTTAGACTTACGGCACTGACGACGGACGAAATATCTTCATCTTCACCAAATTTCCCACTAAAAATTGGGATTGAAATGGCCAGATAGGAGATGATGGAACCAAAGTAGTCAAACATATATCTTGTGAAGTTCAAAA